CATTCGCTGTTAGAAGAACTCGTTTAGGTCCATTTTTATTTGTGCTTTAATGTGGCCACTAAATCACAGTATGACAGTTCCATTGAACTTTAAAAAAATTAAGAAGTGATCATATTAAATAAATAGGATTTTTTTAGCTTTTTTTGATTTGTATGAGGAACATTTTGCTTAGCAATTAGTGATTAACTTTTAAGTACTTCTATCTCATTAAATTGAGTGTCCGAATTTCTGATTACTTGCTTAATATGAATCCACCTTTCGAGTGTGGATGTATCCATGTACGTTTTTGCGTTCTTTTGAGACATTAAAGTGTGTTCTCAATGTTAATCCATAGTTATTGCACATTCAATCGGTTGCGAACACTTATTTACCTTATATCTAAGAGTCACTTTTTCGTGTTTATTTGGATCGGATTTCTTTGAATTACTTGATGGATTATAAACGATACTTATATTGGCAACACTATACAACTCTTTTAATACTTTTGTTTGTTGATCAAAAGAGCTTTCAGACTGTACTTTCTCACATAAATTTGATGCTCTCATCTTACATATTTTCAAGTAACTTGCTTAAATCAAAGTTTCCTCTTTCACCGACGAGCCATGTCGTAGATTAATTACAGGCGTAAGAAAGCAAATATTACTCTAAAGTATCACTGCATAAAAGTAGAATTTTTTAATTTTATTTTCTTAACTCTTTTCCCTTTTGCGACAGAGAGCATAACGGATTGTGCTTTATTTAATTTATTCAATTCATTTGTAAGTGGTGTATAGATATATTCAATTGACAATATAATAAATGCATAATTCCTTCAGTTGTAATCTCAAATTTTAAATTTAAATTCAACAAAAATTGTTTTCATTGATCTGAAACTTCTTTTGAGTGAACCCTTAGTTTCTCACGTTAATAGAAATATTAAGCTTATCTACAATATTATTAACTGGCTTACAATAGAAAAATTAGCCACAATCATGAATTATTCAATTTACTTAGACTCCGTGTGTTTTTTATATTAATTTTCCTGTGTTCCTAAATCATGGCTATTCCTGAAATATATCTAAACATAATTACCGTAGAAAATCTAGAACAGGCATACCTGAAGCTAATGTTGGAGTACCTTTCATTTAGTTTAAAAAGGCGAGTAGAATGGATTCGTAAGTTGGTCTCATCGGAAGCCAAAGGAGGAATGCCTTAGAGTGGTGACTGTAAATGTATGCAAAAAATTACTCGGCTATCTGTCCCTCGACTCTGACGAATCCTTGTTGAGCCTTCGTCCATAATGTGACGGATATTCTCAGAACAGGATGACATACTTTACGATAATTCATTAATCGCAAACACACAAAGGTAAACATAATAATAAGCATGGACGATCAATATAAACAAATTTCTAGCCTTTGTTAAAGCTACATTTATTTATAAGGGCTGTGAATTTTATATTTAATTTAGACACTATCGATCTTTGCAGTATTCCAAAGCATGACTATTTACCCGATTACTATTATAAAGGGGATTACTTGGAAGGAGTCTTATGAATAATCATCATGGTAACTCTTTCGTACTTTATAATAATATCCATAATCCAGAGCCAACTAAACTTTTTGCCTCAACTTGATATTATCGGATGTATCAGCTGATGCATTAATCCTATGCAGCAAAGCGAGTTGTAAATTAACCCATTATTCTATGCGACCATATAATCAATGGCTTGATGTTTGAAGTAAGGCAGATCTCTTCTAATCTAAATCCTTATTGCCAGTTGATTTGTGCGGTCTAATTTTGAATTCCTTATGGCTTCATTAGCTTGAAACGAAATATCACCTGGATTAATTTTCAGAACATAAAGTATTTTTGGCTACAAATGTCAATAACACTCATTAGCAAGACTTTACTTTAATTTTGACCAATTATCCAATAAAGATTATAATGGCTTCAGCCACCAGCTTCAAGCCCTTTTTGTAATCTTATTAATCGAGCTTAGCATTCTATCCTTTATTGTATAATCTTCGAGTAAATTAATGTTTTTTGACACCTCCATCATTTTTACTTTCATTTTTTATCAAGTAGCTATCAAAAGCTCCTCTAGAGGTGAAAGAGGCCTCCAACCTGATTCCGATGGTCTTGCTATCCCCTTATCAAACGGCATGCAGCGAGATGCGGCGTGCCTCTCACCTCTTTCCTCTGCCTCATCGTCACCACCAACATCCTCCTCCTTGGCCATAGCCAAGGCAACAGAGGCAACCACCAACACTGATAATTTTTTAGTATGTGATCGACCTGTGATGGCTTCTGCATCAAATCCAATCAAGCCGGCTGAAACAAATGGTCTGCTCTGGCGTCCATCAAAATCTCCCTCCAGAAGACGCAGTTGGGCTGATGACGATGCACGATCATCAGAAGATTGGCTTTTAAACCACAAAAATGCCGAACATGGTGCCATGGGTACAATTGACCGTGATAACGGTTGTCAAAACGTGAAATACAATATTAAGGACGAACAGCTACTGCGAGTTCATGGCAGATCAGGAACATCGCTGCCTCGTCTTTGCACAACGACCTTTGCTTGCTCTATGCAGAGGACACCGCACTCAGTGCCTCGCTCTCAACCTAGGTTACACTCTACAGAACCACCTCGTTGCCCAGGTGGTGACATCCGAAAAACAACAGAGCGATTGGCTGGCCTAGTCCATTGGAGAGCGGACCAGTTGAGTCGAAGTCAGATGCAAGGAATCTGTCAATGGCAGCGTCTAGTTGATGTAGAGCGCGCGCTAAAGAGGATCGTTGTACGCAGCATTCCCATTTATTTAATCATAAAACTAACTCTTCTATTTTATATATATGAATGCCGAGGCTTTAGTTTCAGTCTTCTCTCGCGGCATTGACTTGGTCTAATTTGGTTGGTT